AGTTAATTAATAAAATATCAGAACTTTTGAATCATATTATCTCTTATTTTTCTATTTAAATTAAATTTCAATATCAACTAATAGTAAATTTGGGCAGCTTCATATATGGTATCTTTTTTAAAAACTCAATAGACATTGCTTCATTAATGTTGCTTAAACATACTCGAGTAAATAGCTCAATTTATTTTTATATGGTAATTTACGTTTTCAATACGTGCTTACATTTCTAATTATATTTATTATATTTGTAAATATTTTTTTAAGTCTTTAATATATTTTTTCAATCAATTTTTCTGATAGATAAAATTTTTAATTGAAATACTCTTAATTAAAATATAAAAAAATACACAAGTAATGTGATTCTAAATGGTTTTTCTTTTTTTTTTCTTTTTCACATGACTTGCATATTAAAATAATATTAAAAAAATATAATATATACAATTAAAAACATAAGAAAAATGGAAAATTCAAACGATTATATGAAAATAAATTAATTTATTTACCTTAAATACTCGTATATGATCAAGAAAGAAAGGGTTGATGGATGTTGGTTGCAAATGCTATGGACCAATTACGAAGTTTGCCTTTTCCATTTCTGATGGGAATGCTCTATACTTGAATTATATTACAATTACGATCTAAGTCCATTAAATCCAATGGAAGTGTTGGATGGGTGGGGCTGGAGATAGGACTGAAGGTTATAATTATTGCTCTCTCTCTCTCTCTGTATGTATGTATGTATAGAGAGAGAGAGAGAGAGAGAGAGTGAGTGAGTGAGAGTCCACCATGCATATGCAATTAGGTTTTCTATAGTTAGTGGGCGTAATGGGTTGGTCCGGGTTGTATTATCAAGTATATTGATCTTGACTTTGTACCCAATTGTTAAGCAGGAATGTGAAGATCATTTTCGTGTTAATTAGGGGACCACGCACTACACTACTCTAGAAAGTGAGGTTTATTAGCTAATTAGGTTAATGGAATTAAGGTCGTCTTTATACTAATCTAGCTTCGCAAATTAAATGGACCACTCTTATGGTGATCTGATTTGACAAACTATATGCGCTTTGATTACTTACTAATAATAAAGCAGCCTTAACCAATGCCATACCCAAGCCAGCCATCTCCTTCTGTCTCTTCTCGCTCAGCACCGACACCTTTTTTCTCAACTGAATCCTTGATTATCAAACTCAAAGCTACGCTCTTAGTTTGAGTGACAAAAGAATGCAGGATTAACATTTTTTTTCTCAACCATAGAAAGCAATTAATGCAATATATATCAAAAAAATAAATTAAAGATTAGAGAGCTAGCAATATTGGTAAGGCAAGCCGATGATGCAACAGACTATTAATTTGCTTTTGTTATTAGTAGCACGCCCAAGCCTAGCTGTTGAGACTTGGTCTATGGTTGCATTAATTATATTTCTACACTAAAATTATACTAAAACTAATGAGATCTACACTAAGATTATACTGAAACTAACTTTAATGACTAATGCTAAAATAATTGAAAAGATAACTTTTATTGATTTGATTGATTCTTTTTACAAACAATTCATTTCTTATTTATATCATTAAAAAATAATTATTCTCATATTTTAAATAACTACTTATTTGTTTGTCTTTATTCAACTCTAACCTGCGCGTGAAAATTTTATTTTACTGCCACATGTCTATTAATTACAACTTGTAATATTCTCTTATAAGCCATTCCCCAGCCTTACTGAATTTTCTTTTGTTATGCCTTATCAAGATGAAAGTGACTGATTTGCTTATCATCCATGCATCACCACATATATTGCACTCATCCAAACTCGCCAAATCTATAATTCCATCTCTTACAAATTTCTCAAACTTTTTTGGGTCCAACACAGTACGTACTTATAAACGATTAAGTCATTTTTTTTTTTTTTGAAAAAAGGGAATCGATTGTGTTATTCTATGGCTAAAAACACACAAGGATAAATAAAAGTAAGAACACCACGAGTCATTACATAATTAATCTCATATTCTTCTATATGGAAACCCCAACTTCTCATCTCATTCGAGGGATCTTTTTTCTTCCCTTAATTTATTGGGGTCATTGCCTGCCTTTTCTAATCAAGTTGAAATAAAAAGGTGGACGTCACGCCAGTTGGGGTGGGGAGGTGACATAAGAGGCCTATATGCATAAAAATGACCCATCGAGGTTCATATGCATGGAAAAAAGCCAGTTTCCTAACGTACGTGGATGAAAAACAGTAGTTTTTCTTTTTTTCCTTAGTTACGAAGGTTAGTTGCCAGAGCCTTAACTCGTCTAACGATCTGATTAGTAATTAATGCTCAATCCATCAGCTGCTACTATTATTGAATATATAGTTTGGAAAATACAATACATTTGTGCTTTTAATGGCGGAAGTAGAATCATCCTGCTATACAGTAACAAATCTATCATACACAATATCTCTCCAATGTTGCAAGCATATATCTTAAACAAATTAATAATACTTGTGCGAACAATTTAGGCTTCTTTGAGTTCCTAAATGCTAAATTGCTCACTATCTTGTAGTTAATTACTAAGTATATTAATTCCGTGCCCTTTTAATCAAATCACTGGAGGCCAGAAACGAAAGTTACTCCAGTAGACGGCAGCCATGAGGTTCCAGCAATAAAATTACCAACAGTAAATTTGGCAGCTTCAGGAGTTCCAATAACATGGACGCCTGGCCATTTTACCCTATTAGTATTTGCAGCTCCTGGACCAGTATTCGAGTATTCAGCGAAGTAGAGTGACTTAGCATAGGACACTTCACCAGGCCACTCAATCCAACCTCTTGATGAAATAGCATCATCAATGCTTGATTGCATCACCACTGATCTCGAATATTGTTTCCAGGGCCTCCCAAGATAGGAGTTATAACTGAGCTTAACCGGAGAAAAATCCGAGCTTGCAGTGATCCTACAATTTTGTACCGAGAAACCAGTGTTTTGTCCAGAGTCAGTCCTTCCATTTGCTAGAATCACATTGTAGCTACCACTAGGAGGCTTACGAAGAACCAAGTAGCTATTTTGGAAAACAGCAGCAGCATTGCCGAAAATGAAGTCTACGGTGCCAAAAATGTCGCATTCTCTGTAGAATTGACGGAGAGCAAGTGCATATAAAGTGTCTTGGTAGCCAGAAATGCTGCATCGGTAGAGAACTGAATGGTCAGAAGCGACATATAGAGCCAAGGCTTGTTCTCCTTGGGGGCCTGCCGTGTTTTGGAATCCAATATCTCGAGCAATGAATCCATCGCCTGTGATTGCTTCCCACCGGAAAATTAAGCATGCATGTCAGCCATCATTCATTATTAAGAAAAAAAAATTGATTTACAAACAAAATAAATCATTGTAATATCTAAAACTTTAAACACACTGATATGGGAAATGTTACTAAATAAAATAATTAACCTGATATGAACTAAATAAACAATTGGCAAATAAGTTTGTAAGAAAATATTGGGATATATATATATATAACATTAATTATTGATAGTACTTTTTCTGTCATAAAATAATAGTTTTTTTTTCATATAGTTTAAGTCATTTATTAATTATAATGTCGTATCAGGATTTTTTTAACAATACTTTTTTTTTCTGTTTAAGGAAAAAAATCTATGCAATTTAATCTTACATTACCAAAATAAAAGTATTTTAAGAAATTATAGTAATAAAAATTTTGATCAGAGAAAAAAACTAAAGATAAATATAAATAGAAAAAGAATTTTTTTTATTATTATTTATTATTATTATTTTTTGTTTTTTGAGATAAAGAGAGTTTCCTTTTTCGCTGAGGGAATTAAATTTGAATTCAACCTTGTTAGAAAAGAAAAGAAAAGAAAAGAAAAGAAAAGAAAAACTCATGTTTTGTTTCCTTCAAATAGAGAGGTAAAAAAAAGGAAGAGAGAAATCAGAAACAGTATAAAATTTCATGTGTTTAGAAAGGTCGGCTGTGGTCACTTTCGAATTTAAAACACAACTTCAATAAAAAATGACTGACTGGCTGCTTTTTTTTTTCTTTTTCTTTTTATAATCAAATTGTAATTATAATTCCATATAAGGAGGAAGAAAGACATCCAGTACAAGCAGTCTAGTTAGGATCAACAGCTATGACGTTGAGTACCCAATTCATTGGGCATCTAAATAGTCTTTTTGAAAATGACAAACGATCGCCTATACTTTATTATTATTTTGTTTTATAGAAATCCAATAATACTTTACAAAACTTTACGCACCCAATATATATATATAAAAGGACGTTTACTATTTAATTAGGAAATTAGGGATGGAAAATTGAATTTAATGTGGAATAATGGAAGATTACCCCATTGTCCATCATAAAAGCAAAACTTTTCCATTTGATTGTTTTTTATTTTTTGAATATTTCAAATTCAAAATCTCATATTAATTTTTCACTGTTTAATCTAACATACGAAAATAATTTTTTAAAAATTTTTCTCCATATACATAGGCTCAAAATCGAAATTATTAATTTAAGTTGTTAGATTTTTTTTCGATGAAGCCAACTTTCCTATCTTAAAACCAATACTTTTATATTAAGTACTTTCCTTTTTTATCAAGCTTAGCATTGGAATTTACGTATATAGTTTTTAGCATTACTTTCATTTTCAGATGCAAGTAAAAGCTAAACTACGTATTCTTGTAGCTCAATGACTATCATGTTTCATGTCCTTTTCTTTCTGAGAGATCTATCGATATGGATCCTAGCATCTCTCATTCAACATTCTAAATTACTTAAGAACTAGTTTCAAGCCATTTGTACTACTTTAAGATCATATAGAGCTTTCAATTTCAACTAAAAATAAAATTTAGAGGATTCTGTAAATATCGGTAGATCCTGATTGAGAGCTCTACTTGGTCGCCACCTAGGCCTGGCTTGTCAATAGTATTTAATAAAGATTAAAGAGCATTTAAACTGTAATAGTAGCTTGTAACCGAAAAAGCTGAAAGAGAGAGAGAGTGTACTAACTAAATGTAGCAGAGGCAGGCATGGAGGAGCCACCAGCAACACTGTCATCACCAACAATTACAGTAGAGTATTTACCATCTCCTATTAAGGTGATACCATCTTTATTGCTACGAATTTTTTCTTTATAAACTCCTGACTTCACATAAATCACAAACCGTCTCCCAGGAGCAGCGTTGATAGCTTCCGATATCGTTTTGTAATTCCCTGTTCCATCTTTTGCGACCACAGCATTGGCCTTGATGGTGCTTGTTTGAAGTAGTTTTCGATCTTTCGTCGATACCCATTTGGGAAAACCTTGCGATTCCTCCTCTACGCTTTGATTTTTTGTGCTGTTTTTCAGCTTAGTCCCATAATTACCAGTAATCCTGTTGAGTAGGGCTAAAGAGTTACTGGCCAGTTGAGAGAGAGAATCCATTTTGCTAGAAATATCTGGCATGTGTTCACCAGAGAGACCAAGGCTCTCGGTTGAATCTTTACAAGCTTGTTGAAAGGTCAAAGCAGCACTTAGCCATGTCTGTATGTCATGCTTGTTTTTTCTTGGAGAATCTTTGAGTGCCAATAACGACTGCTCTAACTGTTTCAGAGACATACTCATCATGTTTTTGCAGTAGGCTGCATGAGTAGTACAAGGGAGAGTTTCAGCTGATAAGCATGTAGGAATTGTAGATTTGACACAGACACATAAATATTTAACATTTCGTTGTCAGATGTTACATAGTAGTGCTTTTAGTTCTTTATTTTTTAAAAAAAACAAAATCGCAACGGAATGACAAAAAAATAAAAAATATCTTATCCAAAATTTATATCGTCATGCATGGAGTTGACGCAAGGGAAATAGAACCTGTGACGGAGAGGGCACGTTCCGCTTCTTGGACTTGCAATTGGGAGCTTAGTATTTCGAAGTAGGAATTAGACAGCAGTCTGGTCTCAGATATTGTTTTGTTAAGAAGAGCAGACATGATATCTACAGGATGGTGATTTTGGAACTCCTTCATGGTCTGGAGACAGAGGCCTGGATATCTAGTATAGCTGCACTGGTTTTGGACTTGCATTTGGTAACTATCAATAGTAGCCCATGACATGGATGCCCCTGCTAATGCATACCCTAGTAACCAAAGCAACGCCAAATCTGGCATTCCCATATCGAAAGAGAAATTAAAGAGCCAGTAAATAAAATGTTTGTAGCCCGAGAGACTTAGCTGAATTTTTTATTATTTTTTAAAGAATCACGTAGCCACTTAAGAGCAAATGGCATTGGTATTTATAGTAAAGGAAGGTCTCTTTGGCAAGGACATTGAAAATTGCTACGAGAACCTTTTAATTAGTTAGTTTGGTGGTTTAATTCTCTTGAACCCTAACAAGAAGTGGTGCTAAAATGCCCATGTCTAGCTAGTCCACTTGTGAATCCTCTTATGTGGGTCTCATTAGCCACTACACTTATGGCATGACCTCACTATATATTGTACACTTCGTACAGAGGGACCTTTTTCTCAATAGTCTGTCATATATGGGAATAGGATAGGGATTTAATATTGCAGGTCAAGAAGTAAGAAAAGCGTCTTTAATTCATTATGTAAAGGTTTGATTTTCAATTTTTAAAATTTTATTTCTCTTCATTATGTGGCGTTAGATATGAATTATTAGTAGATTTAAAGAGTCTAACTTTTAAAATTAATCAAAATTTAAACATAATCCGGTGCTTATTTAGCTAAAAAAAATATTGAATTTAATCTCGATTCATATAAAGATTGTCTCGAAGATATCTTATTATATGTAAAAATAAATAAATAAATAAAAAATAAAAATTTCTTATTTCCGGTAGAACGAGTTTATTCTTACGGTTTGAATATTAACACTGCAACAAATTTCAAGAAACGACGAAAATATTCATTCACAAACATTAAATTCGTCAACTAATATATTTTGAGATGTAAAACTAAATCGTCTCAAAATCTACATAGCTAATTGCATTTTTTGACGCAAAGTAAAAATCATCCTTAAAGGATCATTATTACGGATGAATTTTATTTTTGTCCATGAATGTTGATTATTTACGAGATAATTATCTTCATCTTAGAATATCTCCATATTCGTCCACAAGTGTGAAAAGTTCGAATGGGTAAAATACATTTTTAGAGACAATAAAAGCCGTTGCAAAATATATTTCCAAAAAAGGAATGAAATATTTTGTCCGCAATGACTAATTTTTTAAAACAATAAATTTCATCCCTAATTGCTTATAATATTTTTAGATGACAAATTTTGACTGTAATTGTTTTTAATTTGAAACGATAAATTCCATCATGGATTGCTTGCATTTTTTATACAACAAATTTCATCCCTAATTGCTTTTATCTTGGAACGGTAAATTACATTCCTGATTTCTTGTATTTTATGATGATAAATTCCATCCTTGATTGCCTTTATTTTTTGGCCAATAAATTTTTTTCATGATTGCTTTTATTTTGTCACCATAAAACCTTACTATATTTTTTGCTAATTGGAAGCATATTATCAGCCTTACATTTCATCTTCAATATTATTTGTATCCGTAGTAAATCAAATAAATAAACAAAATCATTGATACAAACTAAATATACTATTACACGAAATAAAATTCCATAACATTGTCTAATCAATATGTAACATAGGCTATTAATATAACCTCTAATAAAAAGTTCAAAGTGGAACTAAGTTATTCTAGTAACTAGATATTGTACTCTTAGAAAACTCTTATCTCACCAGCCTGCATTAGTGGGCAGATCCCAAGTTGGAGTCCTGCTCTTGCAACCCTAAGAACCAATTAAAAAAAAAAAAAAAAAAAGGATGATAACATGTAACAAGGAATGTGCACAATGCAATCCATATCTTCCAGCAGACCATTCATTAGATCCAAAACCATCTGCCACATGCATGGGTAACAGTGATAAAAATGAACAACATGCTATGATATTCAAGGAATTCAAAATGGTGAAAAATTAACAATGTAATTACATTTATTCTAGGGTAAGTGATCAAGTACTTACATCATCCAGCTTAGTTTGGTTGTTGGTCTCCAACATTAATCCAAAATGAATATGAGGGAAGTGTGCCCACTGGTCAAACAAATTTACGAGCGATCAATACCCCAAAAAAAGTTAAAAAATTACTATAAAGTATTTTTGAAGTTTAGCTAAAGCTTAGGATCAGCTTCGCAATGATGTTTTTATCCCCTTTACATTTTTGGCAGCAGTACTGAAAGCTTCTCTGTGACTGATATAACGATTATCGGCCTTGATCCTCTAAATCTCCTCTCTACAAAAGCACATTTTTTTAAAGAATAAATGTACATAAAATAAGAACATCCAATGAAGTGTGTCACCACACGAAAGATAAGGAAAATTCAAGAGGGACTGAAGTTTCTTTATGAACTGATTATATGCAGAAGGTACTCACTGCCTCCTCTCGGGAGCTGAAAATGGAAAATAACATTACATGACTTGCGTACTTACATGAGCAGCAAAAAAAAAAAAAAAAAAAAAAAAAAAAAAAAACCTGTAGGTCTACATTTAGAAAGTAAAAAAAATGGTAGCAAGAGAATGTGAAAATGAACATAAATTAATCAATAATCCGCAAAACTAGGGTTAAAAAATGTTGTAGTGCCAAACTCTTCCAATCAAACTACACGTAGCAATCATCCAGAAATAAATCTTATTCTCTCTCAATATTTTGGCTGGAAAGATCACATTGGATGCTCTAGTAGTCAAAGAAACTGAGATTAAAAAATAAAAGCAGCTTGAATCAAAACCTTTCTTTTTTGGCAAAAGAACTCACTACCATTCTTGATGTCACAAAAGGTAAAAAAGACCAATTTCTTTCACTTTATCATCCGATCAAATGGTATAAAAAGGACTATCACTGCATCAAATTAGGAAGCACATAAAGCATATCCTAACCGAAAACTATACAGTGATTTCTGAGACAAGTTTAAAGGTAACAGGGTCAGGAACCTATAGCAATGGAAGGAGGAATGCAGAAAAGTAGGTGACAATCACAAAGCAAATCAAGGAAATTGGCCCTGCCATCCATACTAGTTGTGCTATACTCCAAGCCAAGGACAGAACTCCAGAGCCGATAACAGCAGTAAAAATATGACCAATGCAAATCCATAAGGTCACTGGTTGAGTTTCCCAAAAACACCAAATTCAAGATCAAATTGCAAAAATTGTGTAAAGTTTGAATACATAAACTGGTAATATTATGTACCATAACTTGGAAACAAAAGATCCTCTTCCTGAGGAACTACTGCCTCAGATGAAGAACACCTAAGAATTATTACATTTTGGATGATTAGATCTCTTGTAGCTCAAATAAAGAATACTTGCCATCAAGTGGAACAACAGGGTAAATGTGGGAAAAAAACACTTGCCATAAAATATATATTATTTTGGTTTGATAATAGGAGAAATAGTAGTACTGTCTCTTCTAATACAAGAGAAAAGGGAAAGAAATGGGTGAATTAGACGTGAGTTGTACCTATTGGTTGCCTTTGTAAAGTAATGTGAAATCCCATATATCCCTGGAAAAAGAAGTGTACCCCACTTTACAAAGCCTGTAGGTAATTTATATATAACATCCATAATTGTTAGATAATTACATATAATAATTTTTAAGATTCCATTCCACAATTTAAATTTTTGGATTAAAATAATTTTTTAATACAATATTAAAATCTCAATATTCAAATATTTAAAAATTTGAATCTTATTATGTTTAGTAGAACTAACCCTTGAAATTTCACTACATGAATGATTTTGATACAAATTGTTGGTTCACCAACTTGTGATAGAAAGTTTAATCCAGACGCTAAATCTCTAAAAGCCCATGTCATCGGTGATCAGCATTCAGCAGAGTAATATTGCTATTGCTATTGCTATTGCTACTACACTACTACATTACACCGAAGTATAAAAAGGACCAAGCTCGCAAGAGAGCGGCAAGAAGAGCAAATTTCTCTCACTTTATCTTCCGATCAAATGGTATAAAAAGGACTTTGGTCTGCTACACTACAAATCTCTTGTTTCTTCTTTCGAGAAAGTAGATGTGAAAAGCAGTCCATCTTAAGACCAAACGACCAAGAAAGAAGGCTGTGTCACACTCCACATTGTTCAAGCAAAAACAAGAGGACACATTTAGAGCACTTGAATTCAAATATAATAAATTTGAATCCCTCACCCAAAAATATCAAAAACTGAATAAATAAATAAGGTGTAATCAATTTTGACTTCAGATTAGGTTGCAAATTCAACAAAATCAAATAAAAAACAGAACAGAAATGCTCACTCTTTTGGATACCCATCACTAGATAGAGACATTGGGACCTCCATTTAAAAAAGAAATAGAACAATGCAATAAATTATGACAAAATTTGGAAAAGAATGACAGCAAGACAACAGCAAAGCATTCAATTTCTTCCTTTTCTTTTCTTCACTATTTAGCAAGAATCCGTACCATGACAATTCAAAGTAAATCCAGACATGGGTCGATAAGAAAAAAATCTAGATAATTCAACCAGTGTTTCAAATGCCACATGCAAATACCTAAAAGCATTAATAATAATAATAAATCGAGATAATATATATATTTTTTTAAAGATACATTAAAGATCAGGAATAGAAGATACCAAGAACAGGGGCACCAGCAGGACTACCGGACACTGTAACCAGGAAAAAAAAAATAGTTCAGTAAAAAAAGGAATTTTTGAAAACCCACAAGAAATATCTAAAAGGTGAGTACTGACATCCGCAGTTAGTGGCAGAAGAAGTGTGGATTTTGCAAGCAGAAGGGAGTGAGAGAAACTTAGTGATATTCTCCTGAAATGATTGTCTTTCCCTTCCCATCTCCAATGAACATCAAATTCCTTTTCTTCCTCCCAACTTTCAAGTTATCCTCTTCGTACCTGAAATAACACAAACAAAACCAACCCATCAACAATTCTCTTTACCGTAAACTATACTATTGGTTACCTTGAGAAATTAAGGTAACTGAGGCTGATTGAGGGAGAAATGATGAAGATCAAAGGGGCAAGTTTCGGTTTCAACCGAAACGAATTTCGGGAAGGAGAAGAAGAGAGGAGAGTGAGATCGGGGGAAGAAAA